AGCTGAATAGACAAGAGTTTTGTCAACAACAAATCTATAACCAACACCTTTTTCACAAAGATAGAAATCCTGGTTTTATTCCTTGTTTTGTCGTTAATGATTTGAGAATCATAACGAGACCTTTTATAGTTCTGCGCCACATGGTACTTTACCAGTGAGATTAGCTCCACGCGGTGAGTTCTGGCGCCCGGATCACAGACCTTCTGATTGCTAGGTAGGTAAAATTCACCAATCTATCTATCTGTTCATTTCAGTCCGACTCTATGGTCAAAAAGTGTTGATTATGGTAAAGACTTAAAGTGTTCTTCTTTTGAGACCGAGACTTTAAAGAGTTTTGCAGTTCCTCAGTCCATTATGTGACTTTCTGATTTAGGGGCGTGGTCAGTTGCTACGGTTACTACGGCTGGTCTGAGACACTGGTTCCTCTGCTCTCTCTGACTCATTACAGCGACTCTTGAACATGACATAAAGAAGACGTCGTGAACTGTCTCAACTTAAACGCGACGGCTTTGCATAATACGTCTCCTTTAATCTCCAAAGCAGCGACACCAGGGTTTCCTTCCTCTGGTCTCTCTCCTCTCTCTTCTTCAGCCTCTCTCTCCTCTCCTAGTCCCTCTCTCCTCTACTCTCTCCACTCTACCATCCTCCCTCTCCTCTTCTCCTCTCCCATTACTCCGCTCCTCCTCTCTCTCTCTTCTAGCTCCTCCTCTCTCCCGTCTTTTCTCTCCTCCCTCTTCTCGCTCCTCTCTCCTCCATCTGCTCTCTCTTCTCCCATCTCTCCTATAGCTCCTCTCTCCTCTCCCATCTCCTCCCACTTCTTTCTCCCCCCTCTCTATCTCCTCTACTCTCTCCTCCTCCGTCTCTCCTCTCCTCTCTTTTCTAGCTCCTCTCTCTCCTCTAGCTCCTCTCTCTCCTCTCCCATCTCTCCTCTAGCTCCTCTCTCTCCTCTAGCTCCTCTCTCTCCTCTAGCTCCTCTCTCTCCTATATCTCCTCTAGCTCCTCTCTCTCCTCTAGCTCCTCTCTCTCCTCTCCCATCTCTCCTCTAGCTCCTCTCTCTCCTCTAGCTCCTCTCTCTCCCATCTCTCCTCTAGCTCCTCGCTCTCCTCTCTCATCTCTCCTCTAGCTCCTCTCTCTCCTCTAGCTCCTCTCTCTCCTCTAGCTCCTCGCTCTCCTATATCTCCTCTAGCTCCTCTCTCTCCTATATCTCCTCTAGCTCCTCTTTCTCCTCTAGCTCCTCTCTCTCCTATATTTCCTCTAGCTCCTCTCTCTCCTCTAGCTCCTCTCTCTCCTATATTTCCTCTAGCTCCTCTCTCTCCTCTAGCTCCTCTCTCTCCTCTAGCTCCTCTCTCTCCTATATCTCCTCTAGCTCCTCTCTCTCCTCTAGCTCCTCTCTCTCCTCCATCTCTCCTCTCTCCTCTCTCTCCTCTAGCTCCTCTCTCTCCCATCTCTCCTCTAGCTCCTCGCTCTCCTCTCTCATCTCTCCTCTAGCTCCTCTCTCTCCTCTAGCTCCTCGCTCTCCTCTCTCATCTCTCCTCTAGCTCCTCTCTCTCCTCTAGCTCCTCGCTCTCCTATATCTCCTCTAGCTCCTCTCTCTCCTATCTCTCCTCTAGCTCCTCTCTCTCCTCTAGCTCCTCTCTCTCCTATATTTCCTCTAGCTCCTCTCTCTCCTCTAGCTCCTCGCTCTCCTATATCTCCTCTAGCTCCTCTCTCTCCTATATCTCAACTGAGCTCCTCTCTCTCTCCTCTCCCATCTCTCCTCTAGCTCCTCGCTCTCCTCTCTCATCTCCTCTAGCTCCTCTCTCTCCTCTAGCTCCTCTCTCTCCTCTAGCTCCTCGCTCTCCTCTAGCTCCTCTCTCTCCTATATTTCCTCTAGCTCCTCTCTCTCCTCTAGCTCCTCTCTCTCCTATATTTCCTCTAGCTCCTCTCTCTCCTCTAGCTCCTCTCTCTCCTCTAGCTCCTCGCTCGCCTATATCTCCTCTAGCTCCTCTCTCTCCTATATCTCCTCTAGCTCCTCTCTCTCCTATATTTCCTCCAGCTCCTCTCTCTCCTATATCTCCTCTAGCTCCTCTCTCTCCTATATCTCCTCTAGCTCCTCTCTCTCCTCTCTCTCCTCTAGCGCCTCTCTCTCCTCTCTCATCTCTCCTCTACTCCTCTCTCTCCTCTAGCTCCTCTCTCTCCCATTTCTCCTCTAGCTCCTCTCTCTCCTCTAGCTCCTCTCTCTCCCATCTCTCCTCTAGCTCCTCTCTCTCCTCTCTCTCCTCTAGCTCCTCTCTCTCCTCTCTCATCTCTCCTCTAGCTCCTCTCTCTCCTCTAGCTCCTCTCTCTCCCATTTCTCCTCTAGCTCCTCTCTCTCCTCTAGCTCCTCTCTCTCCCATCTCTCCTCTAGCTCCTCGCTCTCCTCTCCCATCTCTCCTCTAGCTCCTCTCTCTCCTCTAGCTCCTCTCTCTCCTCTAGCTCCTCGCTCTCCTCTAGCTCCTCTCTCTCCTATATTTCCTCTAGCTCCTCTCTCTCCTCTAGCTCCTCTCTCTCCTATATTTCCTCTAGCTCCTCTCTCTCCTCTAGCTCCTCTCTCTCCTCTAGCTCCTCGCTCGCCTATATCTCCTCTAGCTCCTCTCTCTCCTATATCTCCTCTAGCTCCTCTCTCTCCTATATTTCCTCCAGCTCCTCTCTCTCCTATATCTCCTCTAGCTCCTCTCTCTCCTATATCTCCTCTAGCTCCTCTCTCTCCTATATTTCCTCCAGCTCCTCTCTCTCCTATATCTCCTCTAGCTCCTCTCTCTCCTCTCTCTCCTCTAGCGCCTCTCTCTCCTCTCTCATCTCTCCTCTAGCTCCTCTCTCTCCTCTAGCTCCTCTCTCTCCCATTTCTCCTCTATCTCCTCTCTCTCCTCTAGCTCCTCTCTCTCCTATCTCTCCTCTAGCTCCTCTCTCTCCTCTCTCTCCTCTAGCTCCTCTCTCTCCTCTCTCATCTCTCCTCTAGCTCCTCTCTCTCCTCTAGCTCCTCTCTCTCCCATTTCTCCTCTAGCTCCTCTCTCTCCTCTAGCTCCTCTCTCTCCCATCTCTCCTCTAGCTCCTCGCTCTCCTCTCCCATCTCTCCTCTAGCTCCTCTCTCTCCCATCTCTCCTCTAGCTCCTCTCTCTCCTCTAGCTCCTCTCTCTCCTCTAGCTCCTCTCTCTCCCATCTCTCCTCTAGCTCCTCTCTCTCCTCTAGCTCCTCTCTCTCCTCTAGCTCCTCTCTCTCCTCTAGCTCCTCTCTCTCCTCTAGCTCCTCTCTCTCCTCTCTCTCCTCTAGCTCCTCTCTCTCCTCTCCCACCCACCCACCCCTTTTTCTCCCCCTTCTTTCTCCGCTCCCCTCTCTTTCTCCTCCCCTCTCTCCCCCCTCTTTCTCCTCCTCTCCCTCCCCTCTCTCCCCCCTCTCCATCATTGCATATTCCTTTGACCCGTGCGCTTGCCTCGGCCTTGCTCTAAACCCGGCCCGCTGTGGATTGGCCGCGGTGTCGGAGCCTTGTTTGAAAGCCGCCTGATTGTGTGGAGGTCTATCTCTGCCGGACAGACGGGATTATGGGACGCTGCAGTGTGTGGAGCGGCCTCCAGGGGGCAGAGTGACGGCTGGAGCTGCGGCCAACGAGTCCATTTCAACAACGCCACAAAGACGGCCATAGAAGAGTGTGTTTCTGTGAATGTGAGGGATTGGTCACGGAGACGAGGAGGACGGAACGATAGCTACTTCTGTGCATTTTGGATACTTAAAAAATATATTTATACACTACTGGTATTTACTTTACTCTGCTGCCTTCACGACACAAACAAAGAACGTTAAGATTCAGCAAAAGCAAGATCAGAACACACTGGTCCATCAAAGCCTCCGACCAAACACCCTCCACCAGTTCACTCAGTTTACATTCAGACCTATTGCACATGTTTTTAGTGGTAGGAGAAACCAGAGTACCCGGAGGAAACCTACGCAGACACAGGGAGAACATGCAAACTCCACTCAGAAAGGCCCTGTTCCGACCGGGATTCGAACCCAGGACCTTCTTGCTGAGAAGCGAGAATGCTAACCACTCAGCCACCGTGCCGCTCAAAAGTGGCACGGTGTGTGTATTTGTGTGTATTTTGTGTATCTTGTGTGTATTTTGTGTGTATTGTAACTTCCTTCCTCTCCCTTCTGTGTGCGTGACCGTGTCTGAAGTCATGGCTTTGTCTCACGGGACAACACAGCTCTATCTATCTGTCTATCTCTAGAGAGAGGGGGAGAGGCCCAGAGAGAGAGGCCCACAGAGAGCCCCAGAGAGAGGCCCACAGAGAGGCCCAGAGAGAGGCCCAGAGAGAGGGGAGTGAGCTGAGAGAGAGAGGCCCACAGAGAGGCCCAGAGAGAGGGAAGTGAGCTGAGGGGGAGAGGCCCAGAGAGAGGGGAGTGACCTGAGGGGGAGAGGCCCAGAGAGAGGGGAGTGACCTGAGGGGGAGGGGCCCAGAGAGAGAGGCCCACAGAGAGGCCCAGAGAGAGGGAAGTGACCTGAGGGGGAGGGGCCCAGAGAGAGAGGCCCACAGAGAGCCCCAGAGAGAGGGAAGTGACCTGAGGGGGAGAGGCCCAGAGAGAGAGGCCCACAGAGAGGGATGTGAGCTGAGGGGGAGAGGCCCAGAGAGAGAGGCCCACAGAGAGCCCCAGAGAGAGGCCCAGAGAGAGGGGAGTGACCTGAGGGGGAGAGGCCCAGCGAGAGGGGGAGAGGCCCAGAGAGAGAGGCCCACAGAGAGGCCTACAGAGAGAGGGAAGTGAGCTGAGGGGAGGGGGAGAGGCCCAGAGAGAGGGGAGTGACCTGAGGGGGAGAGGCCCAGAGAGAGGGGAGTGACCTGAGGGGGAGGGGCCCCAGAGAGAGGCCCACAGAGAGGCCCAGAGAGAGGGGAGTGACCTGAGGGGGAGAGGCCCAGAGAGAGGGGAGTGACCTGAGGGGGAGAGGCCCAGAGAGAGGGGAGTGAGCTGAGGGGGAGAGGCCCAGGGAGAGG